GAAAAAAAAAATCACCAATTTAATTACGTCATTGTCGTAACAATTGAGAATGAGCTTTCGTCATTTTATCACGGATGTTAGAGACAAAATAACGAGAGAAAAAATAAAAATTCGTTTATTGATTTTTATTGGCAGTTCTTTGCTTTATGTGGCGTTTGAACGAATAGCAAATATTTGATAAAGAACGTGAGCGAATGCTTTTGAGAGTAATTTTGTAATCACTGAGCTCATTCACGTATCTCCTCCTTTTGTTTAGTTCTTTGCCCTCTTATGCCGAAATTCACAATCACTTTAAAGTAAATACAGCGTAAAAATCGCGATGAATGATTTGATTTTAACCCACTTAAAAGTGTGGAATTTTTCAAACGATAAGGAACTGCATGTGAGTACTCAATATTTGGCCTTTCACGCAATAATCATAAAATATCGTCATAGTCATGCTTCATTGACTAATCGATAATGTAAGTCTACAGAATTTCTATATACTCGTGACAATTGGGTATATTTCTGACTTGATTGCAGTTGTATAAGGAATTATTTAATTTCTTATCATAGACGAGTAATCAGGTGTGCTCATAGACACGTAAAAAAATTATTTTTATTTCTGTTGAGTTATCATTTTGATATTATCTTAATTATGAGCTACAATTTGTGTTTCCTCTTTCTTACGTGAAGGCCAAATTTCTTCTTATTAATTGCTAAATTTGTACTTTTGATGCTAGACTCTTCTCTTTTTTGAATCTTCAATACATTGAGAAGAGAATTAAAGGTAAACGCACATTTTGTATGGCTGCATGAAGTGTAAAATTGAAGTTAATCAGGTTTAAGTTTGAGCTTATGTTTCAAAAAAAACGGTTAGAAATTTAAATTTTCAAAAACAGTTAAAACCTTGGCCTTGAATTTGTATTTTTAACAGCTGTTAAAAATTTGAATTCGAGTTTTTAAAAGCCGTTAAAAATTTGAATTAGAATTTTTTATAAACCGTGAATAATTTGGATTTGAATTTTTAAAACCGTTATATTTTTAAATTTTAAAATAACGTTATATTTTTTATGATTTTTAAATAACATTGAAACTTTGAAAACCGTTAAAATTTTAAACCAATTATTTTTTAAAATTTCAAATACCAAAATACCGTTAAAAATGCGTTTAATATTTTAATAAGCCGAGTATTTCTACAAATTTTAATATTTTGTTGTAGAAAAGTTTCTCGTAGGTTGATTTGAAACAAAATTTCGTAATAAATCGAAACACTTGCTAGACTGCTGCCTGACGCTGTTTCAAATTTACACTGATTGTTATAAATCATTGACTCACAATGTCAAGCTGAAAGATTTTTTAAAAGAAAAACACAAAAAAAATATTCAAAATTTCTCATCTTGTCCCCATTGAACGGTTATAGTGATTTTCCTAATTAGTGGCATTTATTATAGTACTGAAAAAAAAATGAATAACAAATTTATACATACATATTTGAGAGATGTCTCGAGATGTAGTTATTCAAAAAACGTAAAATAAAAATAATAAATGCACACCCACCTATCAGCATGTATATCTGCTGTCGCTATCATGTGCATGTATTAAACCGTGATGGAATTTCTTTCATTTCTTCTTTATCGTATATCGAAGACTCTTTGTTGTTAATTAATGCCGACATAAAATTCGATTAGAAATCTATTTTGTTTTATTTAAATTTATTTTTTTCATTATCGTCATTAAAATCTGTTAAGGCATGGTCTTATAGGCATATAAAAGAGATGAAGATAATCATGGATTTTGAAATGATCACACGATCACGCATATTAATAATGAACATTTTTTTTTGTATCTAAAGCATTAAGACAAGATGATGTTTTACAGTCATAACCATGACTTTAACTTATGGCAGCATAAAAGCAACGACGACAATTCAATTTGCATAGTTAAGTACATACTCCTTAACATAATGCGAGGAAAAGTGAATTATGTAAATTATAAAGTCATTATTATGCAATAAAAATTACGGGTAAGTATAACAAAAAGAGCACTTTCCGAATTTCCACGCTTGATTGAGTTCATAGGTGTAGTCAGTGTGGTCAATTTAGGGGGGCAACTTTGAATTTAATCCACTTTGTTAATCTCAAACACTTCAAAATGGATTGAATCAAATTTTTTAAGAAGTTAAGCCCCCCTGCTACGCCCCTGCTTTAGTTCCATACAAAATAGCGCAAAAAAATGTTCACAAAGAAGCAACGTATTAAGGCTTTATAGACTATATAATTTATATTATTCATACTCATTTAATTTTATCGCATAGCATGTGACGGTAAAATAAAATTGTTCGGAATATCCATTTAAAAACTCAAAAATCAGGAATCACAAAAAATATTTTAAAGTCATCCAAGTCCATGTGATACCAGATCAGCGCACTTTTTATGACACTATTTTTTTATCAGATATCTATGTTAGACATGTGATCTGTGAAACTGATGAAAATGATATTTGTCGTTAATAAAATTGAGATGTTAGTTTGGTGATGAGAAATGTGAGCTGTTTGATAAGCCGTTTGGATTAAATGTGTAAAATTGATTTGTTTTTGAAACAAACATAATTGTGAATATTTCAGATTCTGGGTGGCTACTTTTGGCAGAATGTCAAATATGGAGCGTTTCAAAATTGTTTTTTTCTTTAAATTATTTTTCTTTAGATTAGTAAAACTTTAAAAATAATTAATTTGTTTTGAAACCGATTGGAAATTTTACCAGTATTTAAAGGTTTACTTCAATAAAATCAAAATAAGTTATTAAGAATATAAATTAAATTGAAGCTATTCAAATGTTTAAATAATTTTCTCAGAAAAGAACTTCCTTTTTTTTGGTAGGGAAATTCCATTTACTTACAGGCAGTATAATCCTTTTATTCTGGAAAGATATTGATAAAGTTTTACCGACAGCAATAAATATTTGAAGATTTTTGAATTTATTTTAATTTTATTAACCTAAGATAACAATTTATTACTGGGAAATTTTCGATATAAAACATTAAACTTGATGTTTTAACTTATGAAAAAAACGTGGTAAAAAGAATTTGAATTTTTTTAAGATTTACGATTTTACGAATTTTATTTTTTGTAATTTGAAATTAATCTGTTTAGTAAATTTTCTTTATAACATCTTATCAAATTTTATAATTTTTTTTAAACTTAAAATTATTTAAATTATTTTTTCTTTTAAATATGAACTTTTTTAAAATTAGATTTGTTTAAAGGAATTTTTTTGAAATTAGACTTTTTTAAATTTGAACTTTTCTAAAATTAGTTTTTTTTAATATTGGAAATTTTCTAAAATTAGATTTTTTAAATTTTAAACTTTTTGAAATTAGATTTTTAAAATTTGAATATTTTTTAAATTAACGTTTTTTTATAAAAGTTAAAAATCATAAATTTCAAATGAAAATATTTTTGTTAAAAATAAATTCACTTTATTCTAATTTTTAAAACTTAATTCTCAGACATAATGCATCATAGTTCTAGTTCTTGATCTCAAAAAACCAGTTTAAAAGCCGCCAAGACAGTTAATTATAAAAATAGCATAAAAAAGACATATCTTTAAAAATCAAGAATTTCCACTAACGTCGAAATACCAGAATTATGATAAGCAGTCGTAATTCCATTCAGAAACAGAACGATTTATTTATTTTTTAAAAATTTAAATTAATTCCATCTTAGTGTTGATCAAGTATTTAAATTACATAACAATTATAGTAATGCCATGTCTTACTAAGATAAGAAGCAAAAGAAATAATATTATTTTTAATGAAAGTTGCTACTTAACAATAAGCAAATAAAGCAGAGCCCATTAACAGCACAAAATGAGTCTGAATAAACAAACAAGCATTTCTCCATTCAAATAGTAAGAGTATCAAGAAGAATTCGATTTGTCAACGAGGTGGAATGAAGAAATAAGCAGTTAATTACTGATATTGAATTGTTCATTACAGGTTACGCGGACAGGTTTCTTCCGACTTTTGGTATCGGAGTATGCGACACACAAAATAAATTTGCATCTTCTTCATGATGTGTCGTTATGTGTATCTCTACAATCTCCTTGACTTAATGTCAATTAAAATGTTTTTTTTGTTATGTCCAAAAATAAATTGTTTTTTTTTTTCGGAAAAATAAGAGATAACTTTTTATGTGAGCATGTACGTTGGATACAGAAGTACACAACATACAATTTAAAGCAGCATGGCTCGAAAAAATTATACTATGGGTCCTCGATTTGAGTAGATTTGATTTGAATAGGATTTTTCTGGAACAAAACACCTACTCAAATCGAGGACCCCCAGTATTTGGGGTTCAAGTGATGTGGAAATTTTAGGGTTAAGATATAGTACGTGTTTCAAACGTACCACACTTGCAACATCTCACTTGGCCCTTGGTTGGCATACGCAAGGGAAAAGATGTCTTGGAGCTCAAAAAGCTACCTGACGCAGAACAGTGATGAAAGAATGTCAGCTTAACATGCGGACCAAGAAATTGTACAAACTTGGTGACAGAACCAGCAACAGAGTCTGGTGAATATCCTTTTTTTGAAACCTAAGTTCTACATAGGAACATGGTTACAGTACGTAAGTAAGTTACACTAGCTAAATCGGAGCAACACTAGACCAATTAGTTCCATCAGAACTTTTGTACTTGATTGAGCCTTCAAACTTGACTGGACCATAATTATCGAACCATCCTCCATTAACCTAATCAAAAATTAATCAGTCAACACTAGAGTCACCTAGTTTTGACCCTAACAAAATGAAGGAAAAGAGGTCGTGAAAAAAAAATCTATAAAATTGAAAAAATGATGTTCAATCTTAATTATTAGAGTACCTCCACTATTACTTCCAAAATTAGAAACAACAAATAAGGTCTGCTTTTAGTCAAGTCAACAAACTCAACAAATGTCCGTAAAATGCGCAAAAAGGAAATAAAAAAATCATTGAATAGTAATAAAAAAAATTCCACATACCAGATTAACGTCCGGCTTTGTTTTCATGTTTAATCCATTCATTATGTGCTGCTCTAATTCTGTAGCATTAATCTTGAAATCTTTAGTCGTGTCGATATCCATAACACCATCGCCAGTATTATTCCGACTATTGTTGTAGTAGCTTTGTATCATATGATGAATATCACAGGTAATTAATTTAATATCACAGCTTGCACTTAACATTAGATAATAAATAATAAATCTAATAATTATAATTTCACTGCTTTCGATTTTTACTCCCATATCATAGACTAAATTTTATATTTTGAGGATGTGAATAATTATGTTGTACTAAATATTATTTCTCACGAACTTTTAGTGTGTAGTTTTTCAAATATTTTCGATTAATTACTATCGTTCTCAGCTTGTTAAATTTCATCAACATATCTCTTATTCTTTTAACTTTTTTTGCAATTTTTTTTTTATTTGTTTTTTTTTCAATGTCGCGTGTTTCAATAAAGATTATTTATTTTTTTTTCTTCCTTCAAAAAAATCAATGAATTTCGAATTTTCCGATGCTATGTTGTAGAATTTTTATAGACACTGAACAGCATGCATACAAAAAAAGAACCAGATAATTTCTCTCTTCTATTTTAGATTGATCTCAGTTTGTCACTATTATTCAACTAATTAGATGTTGTTCTCGCGTGTCTTACAAAAATGAATTATTTACTTCAATTGAAATGAATTTGTAATTGCTCTGGCTTAATAAATAAATCAAAACTTGTTGTACGTCCTCCGCGTGTTAACACTTCTGATATATATTTTTCTTTATATTTATATAAAATATTTTAAAATTCAATCATATAAAAAAATATATTTAAATTTAATTCTCTTTTAACTCCGTTCATCCAAAAACACCTCCGTTTCATTTCATGTGCTTAACGAAACTAAAATCTGAATGGAAAGCACAGAAAAAAATTGAAAAAAAGAAAAACTTGATTTAATACAAATTTAATATTTTTTTTTTCTCTTGAGAAAAATTGTGTTTTTTTTTTTGGTTTGTGTGACTTAATGCTTGATGCACGAGTGTGAGTATAGTTGAATGAATTGTGATTCTCTCTCTTAAGGCATTTTTTGAGAATGTACACAAAAATATAATTTTTTTTTTCTTTTCTGTTCCTTCGTGAATTTCTGTGTCTTATTTGTATATCTTTTTCTTTAAAGCCATGCATATGTGTATATGACTTTATTTCCATGTCAGCTGTCTTTTGTAGATGTTTTTTGGTGTATTGTATCTTCTCTTTTTTTTATTATTTCTTCGTGTCGTAAACGACTTTTTCTCTTTCCTTCTGCTTATAGTATATCATCAACTTTGCCATATAGGCTTTATTTGGCCATATAAATCATGGATTATACGATACATTTAGAGGGATTTACTCATAATTATGAAATGGTAAATCAATGCATGTCTTGTCAAGAACGTGAGATGAGTCTATTAAAAATTGTTGAAATTTTTTCTTCTCACACTTTTCTTTCATTTGGAGACAGCCGATAAGATTTTTTCGGTTGTTTCTTCTTATTGACCTTAAAAATTATTATTATCTCAATTTTGCCACGCTTTAGTTTAAGAAGAAATGTTCTTGCTTGGAATATTCCATTGCTTTATCTGTGTTTTCCCATAATTTATTGATTGTCGCTTGTCAACTGGCTTTTTATTCATCTTTAACATAATGGGGTGCATTCATAAGTGATATTTTAATTTTTTTGGATTGCTAGAATCGGTACTTAGCTTAATCGCATGACAAACACTTAGATTAGGACCTACGCTATAAGTTTACCTAATAAAGAAAGTCTATGACCAACTTCATAGGTTGAATTAATGCGCGTATCCTGTGGTTTGGTTTTTTTTATGTTGTAAGGTGCCCTAGAAATCTCTAGAATGCCTTTTAGCAACCCTACTGGACTTTATCATGACCATTAAACGAGATTCATTTATGATGGACTATGACACAGGTGAGTGTCGAGGACCAAAATTTAAAAAACACTGAACAATACCATTGTAATGTAACTTAAGTTTGTGATGGCTCAAATGCAATTAAAATGTAAAGAATTTGCAAATTTTGGAAGACATTATTTTTGAACAACCCCTCCTTAAGATTAGAAAATAATCGGGTGCTAAATGTTGTCAACTAATACTAAATTGTTGCGGACGATCGTAATATATTTTGATAAAAATTTAAATAATTTTACATAAAGATTAGACAATGTAAACTAGTCATCTGTTGAGTTTCTGATCAGGACCAGAGCATTATCTAGAAATAATCCATGGTCATCGTCACGTAAATCTATGCAAAATATTTCATAATTTTTGCCTTTTTATGATCATTCCAAAAATAGAAAGAAAAAGAGTCGACTGATTTATGACTCAGCTTAGCTTAAAAAAAAATGCGATTGACATTTTGTGAATGAATATCTAAAATACTCAATTCTCTTATCGCGGTGATCATTTCGATCCGAATGTGGTGAAATTGATAACTCAATTGTGATCGCTGACTCGTGTTGGAGGTGTTCCCATGGTTAATCGTTTTTATTTGTTTTTGGATTAATGAAATGTAATCTTTAAGTGAATTTTGCTTTCTTTGTGCATTATGTGGAATCAACTGTTTGTCCTTAGTTCTTGAAATTTAGTTTCTAGCTTCAATTCAATTAGATTGTGCAACAGTGTTACCAAACCTTTAAGCGCTACAATTTTATTCTTAACATTAATAATTCTTAAATCTATATTATGCACGATAGCTCAGTGTGTAGCGCATAATCTTCACTAAGCAGTTGTGTGTCCAGCAGCCAAATAAAAATGGCTTTTTAGATCTTAGAACTGGTGTTCATCTCAGCTCTCGTTCCAATTTACAAGAGGTCACACAATGTCTCCACGTCCGTTCCAGTAAAACCCCTTCATGGTGAATTCACGGCTCTCGTACCTTTCTCATTCTGTCTACATAATTCTTGATCCGTTCAAATATCTCACATCGCCTAATTCTTAGTTCTACGTCTTAAACTGGTTGCACCTAAGAAGCCGAAGTATCTAAACTTTTGAAAAATCACTAAGCTGGTGGTGGGATTCGAACTTGGGAGTTCAAATTCAACACCAACTTTTGCGACCTGTCCGTTGCAAACTGAGCTATCAAGGCACTTTTGCTTCAACAATTGCTTCAATAATTCATGAAGACCTTTGATAATTCGCCATAGCCCCAATAATCACAAGAAAGTCTGCGCTAAGATTATTGATCTTTAACATATTCATTCTGAGAAACGATTCGAAACTTAATATCATCATAAAAATCATAAAAGCTTCAGAAAAGCCATTCAACTATAGCATTGTTATTAAATTCTAAGAAAACCCATCAACGGTAGATGCCTTATTGCCATCCAAATCAAAAGCCAATATTCTTTTGAGCTTGTTATCACTGCATTATGGAATTTACATTATTTTTTTGATAAACAAATAATGTTCAGAATGTTATGATTATTTTATGGAAATCCAATTGATTTTATACACCGAAAAAATCAGTTTTTTCTTCCGAGAACTAAAAGGAAGCAAAAAAACAGTAAGAAAATTGGATGTGATAAAAATAGTAGAAAAAAAGGTTAAAGCCAATTGAATTCTCATTAAAAGTAAAAGTCACGTCTTGAATGATTTATTCAACAAAAACCACAAATTGAGATTCTCTTCAATAATTACAGAATATCCCACAACCCATTAAACCATGAACTCTGTAAATAAAAAAAAGTTTTAGAAATCCCAAAACGGATCTTATGTGTTTTATTTATTTATGCCCAGTTTTAAGGAATAATAACATTAATCAGCTCAAACCATCACAAAAGAACTGAGGTAATTTCAATCAATCATTTTTCGTTTATTTACCATTGACTACAAGAAAACAAAATCAAACTAGCGTAAAATGAATCGATTTTGGTACTTGTACAGGTGTTGTCATATAAGTAATTGCAATTTTTTTATTACATTTTTTCTCTCTCTAATTCCAAGCGGATAAGGTTTTCATGATACGAAATATGCTGTTCACGTTTTGGGGTCATTCACTTGTTATGTAATGCCCCAAACTAGTAATGCCTAATATTTTAAATTTGCAGGGGGGTTAAGTGAGTACATAGGTAAATTCGGAGCGGGGGAGGGGGGGGGGGTTGGTGTCAAACCTTAGCAAAACCTAAATCTCAGATCAATCTGAGGAGATTGACTAACACGGTAATTTCAGCAAAAGTCAATAATTAATGGACGTCATTGACAAAAGCCTACATTCCTAGCACATTATTTAATGTCATTGTGAAATAGATTACATAAAGTATTTCCTCGTGCCTTCATCGTAAAAACCTTTTTTTTTGAAGTAATAAAAATTTTTTGGATGACGCATTGAAAATGATGCTTGAAGATATGAGAAAGAAGTGCCTACACGAGGATTTTTATTTATTCAGGAAAAATGGATGTTGGATTTTTAGGGGGTTAGTGCAGTGTTTCTCTAAATTCGTTGATCCACGGCACATTTTTTATTACGTTTTTTTCGCGACATACCTGGAATTTTTTAATGGCTAGTGTGCCGTGACACTCAGTTTGAGAACCACTGCATTAGTGCTTTAAAATTAGAAAAGAATAAAAAAAATTGAAATTATTTCAAAACAAAAAGAACATTAAGTTTTATTTATGGATTTATTAACTCAAAGTTCATTGAAGAATAATAAAAGGCTGTTTTATATTTGAATATTTTATCATTGGACTGTGGGTATTTAAGGTTGAAGTGAAGTTGTCATTTGGTTTTTGAGTTTTTACTGAAAATCAGGACTTTTATCGACTTTATTTGAAGTTAGTCATGGGAAAATTATTGAAACAACTTGATTAAAATAAAAGATCAAAGGAAGGAATCGAACCTTTGGTTGGGTTTGCTCAAAAGATATTTTTATGTTTCAATTCTTCTGGCTGGCTTTTCACTTCGCAAAGACTATTAAGCAAATTTGGCTAATAAGCGAAGACATATCTCCAACTTTCTCACAATACCCGGATAAGATTATCATTTTCCGTAGATCAACTAGATTATCAAGAACCTCTAATAACTAAATTCAGACTGATTTTTCAAATATTTCACCTAAATCATTGAATGACTAGCAATTTTATAAAAGCTCTAAAAACTTCCAAGAAAAAATGAATAACTCAACTTCTTTTCCCAAAAGCCATTGTCAAATAAATTTCGAAAGGTTTCTAAGAATTCCCTGTCTTGTCCCGGATTTCGCAATATTTCACAATTGTTCATGCATAATTTGTACTACATCCTATTGTACATCATTTCAACGCAATTCAAATAGCCACAAGCCATTACTAAATGATTCAATCCTCCTCTTTTTTTTTTGTTAAC